ATTTAAGGAAAAGATTTCATTATCGGAAAAAATCTGTCTTTAATAATTTAGTTGTATGAAGACTCCCAAAAAGTTTTGAACTTTAGCAATTTTCGAAAAATCAGGGTCTTCAACGAACACGAGACCTGCACCATTATCTTACGTCCTTCACACTATCCAACAATAAAATTTAATCAAAAACGATGGGAGCCATTTTTTTGAAAATTTGTAAAATATTCCAGAAACTTCATGCAAAGTTTCTCAAAAATCAAAATTTCGGTTTCAAATTCAAGGGGTCGTGACATTAGCCAGATCAATTGGGGAATGTCTTAGAGAAAATCGGCGGAGCAGTGAGGCCGCTAGCGTTGTTCACAGACGGCCGGACGTTTTGCCGTCAGTCGATTTTTCGGTATCAAGGTCCCCAAATCATGGATTCTAGCTATACCACGTGATAGAGGATTTTTCTCCTAAATTAGCAACTCGATTTATCGACTTTCTCTACCAGGGCCCTGTAATAGTTTTTCTGCCGAAAATTCGCAGTTTTTGAGCGCATTACATAACTTTCTCTCTACTCCGAAGCGAGAAAGTAAAAAATGGTCACATTTTAACACAGTTGACAAAGTTATCCCATTTCCAGTATAACTTTGCCTACTCTTTTTTGTTACTAACTCAGAAAATTGTCCCACAGATTGTGAAAATAGAGATAGTTTCATTGTTTGAGATGGGTTTGAAACAATTGTGTACATTATTAACAAATCAGTTAAAAGAGGAAAAGGTGCTAAGGTACGTACTACAGGAATATGAATAATCCACATTATCAGAAACAGGAACCCATAATTTTATTTTTCCTGGCGAAAAATTGGTTTTTACTGCAGTATTGCATAACCTTCTCTATATCATGTATGTAGTATGCGAGAAAGTAACTAGTGGTGCTACAGTATGGCACACAATCGTATTCAGGTTCCTTTTGTATGCGGACTTACCACATACACTTGCCAGCTGTCGTCTATTGCCACCCAAAGTTCATTTTTCTGGATGTATTTTGAAGCATAGCACGCTAGAATTCTGTCGATGGCTCGACTCGAGGTGTCGCGAGTTTGAAAAACTTTCTTCACAATTGGGGGTACTTTGCATGAAGCCCCTCGGCCTTTTTCCAATTTTTTTCTTTAAATGTCTTTTTTAAAAGGAGAAAAATACACTTTTAAAGGTGGGTGTAGGTCCGATTTTCACGATTAACTCGGTTTTCGTAAAAAGTTTACTTTTTTAATTTTTTTTCGGCGTCTTCCTACAACGACAAAATTTAAAATAGTTGTTTTTCCTTCAAATGAAATTTGTCCACAGTTGGTTCTTTGATTAAGGTCATGCACTTTTTTTTTTTTT